GGGTTAATTATGTTCTATTAGGGTTTAGTTTTGAGTGTTTAGGGGGTTTTAGGTATCAAAATATTTTTTAGGGTTTAGAATTTTAAGATATAGGTTTTATAAATCTATAATTAGTGGNATTTTTGNAAATNNNCNCNCNTAANTGGCATTCTTGCAAATGTGCACACAAAAAGTGACATTTTTGTAATTGCCCCAACATTTTTAAGGAGATACAATTTTAAAATGTTGGCTTTAAAAATCCATAATTAAATGTGGGCCAAACACTTTGTGCATCAAATCCATGCGTGGTAGAGGATTTTTTTTTAATCTTGAAAACCCTTCTGTGTCCTGCAACATAATTTTCTCTTATATAAAAAAAAACACTTACAAATTTGTAATTATTAATATTCTATGGTATGCAATAAAAAATTCTTACATTTTTCCGATCTCGCCACCATTGTGGATCTATGAGTATTCTTCCTCTACCAGTTCAATGGAAATACCAGTACGTCAAACAAGCCTTTTATATACCACGTACAAGGCTCTAAAGTCATCGTGTTTACTCTTACATTTATCCCAATCAATTATAAATCATGTTTGTTCACGAATCTTTTTGATAATATTTCTTTTGCCGTCTCTTTGTGGCAATGTCGAAGAATAGTTTATTTTTTGCACTTCTTCTTCTAATAATTCAATGAATAGAGAAAACAACATTGGCGACCATCTAGAAAATTCCTACAATTTATATTTCACAACTCACAATAATTAAATATATTTATGTAGTATATTTCTTGTATAGCTAAACTTTTGAAATATAAATTTACCATATTGTTTTCGTTTGATGTTCCACCATCCGAATTTCCCGCACCGCTCATTGTTGTAGCTCTGCTAAACAACAATTAAAAAACATATTAGTTATTTGTAATTTTTTAAAATAATCGATAATATTTACACACTATATACATATTTAATGATGCATAAATTCAAATATAAATACTTATGTTCAATTCTTAAGAAAAAAAAATTATGTATAGTTTTTAGAAATTTATTTAAAAATAATCAATTCTTTTATATAAATGCAACTAAATTTTTTTAAAAAAATTGATAACTAAAATTTTAATCATAAATAATTATAATAATATTCCTGATTTTCAATTTAAATGTATTTTTAAAAAATACTTAACAAAATAAATAACTCAATTAAGTTATGTTATTTATGGAATAAATATTGTAGTATGAAAAAACATTCTTATAAATATTAAATGATGATATATGTAAACGTTATATGAATTATACAAAATAATGTAAACTTACTTGATTATTCTCTATGCTTTGATAAGTTAGAAAATAGTGAATTTTTTTTTTTCGAATAACAAAAAACCTCTCAATTTTTTTTTCTCTTCACCGGAATATGAATAAACTTGTTTCATTGAATGAGAGTTTATAGTCAAATTTTGATACATCCGTGACTTTTTTTTAAATTGTGTAACTTGTCTTTTTATTGTTCATGTAAAAAACAAACAATAATTCATCTTCAATTATGTAACTTTTGTCAGACAAGTATCGTCTAAAGAGACACAAATAAATCATCTTTCTTTTTTTCATTTTCTTCTAATTCTTCAAATTCTTCAAATTCTTCTTTTTCTTCTTCTCCAACTCGTAACAGCATTCTTCATATTCTTCATTTTCTTCAAATTATGTTGTTATCATTTGATGCCCAAATATAATAATTCCCACTTGAACGGCATACGGCTCACAGTTTGCTTTATGACGTTACTCTTCTTAAAGCATCCATAAGCTTGAACTCTTGTTATAATTCGCATTTCTTATAGTATATATTATAAAATGATCTATGTAGTTAGCTCGATACCTTTTATGAGTTAGTTAAAGCAAAATTCTGATATAGTATTTTTTGTTTTATAAAGAACAGAAAATGATATAGTATATTACTAGAAAACAATCTTTTTATTTGTTGAAGAGAAATCAAACTTTAGTTGTAAAAAAACAAAAATGCTACCATATGCTCGAGACATAAAACACTAGTATTCCACCAATAAAAAAGACTTGAGAAACCTAACCCAAAAATATTATTTTCAAATAAAAGATTAAATATATCTAGCTATCTATACAAAATCTAGATAATAAGTGAATAAAAGTATAAAACACCTAGCATAAAATGACAAGGAGAAACAAACTTGGGACTTCTAAATCCTAATCTATATCCAAAACCCAACAAGTAAACTATATTGTTAAATTTATACATTTTTCTGTGAGCTATTTTTACAATAATCTTTTTAGTTGGCCTGCCAAACTTTTGGAACTCACATGACTTTGGCATTTTCTTGGACGGCACATAGCAACAAGTACAAGTCATATATAGACAAGACTCATCTTTCTGATTATTTCATGACTTTAGACCATAAATTGAAAAGGATTACACGTGTCTTCACTTTTGAATGATTCGTCTAAATGCTTTGACTATACAAAATCCAATTAATTTGAATTTATTTTCAAATGTTATTCATTTTCCGACCCTCTCAACGATCAATCGTTCCATTTTTAGAACGGTCATGGTCCACAACAGTTGGCACAATTTGTTTTCCTATGTCAACCATTTTTGCTGTCGGATGGATGCTTCACCCCCAACCATTTTTGATTGACTACTATGACATATGTTCAATCTTACTTTTCTGATTTTTTTAAAATGTAAAATCCCACTACTAAACAGACATATATACATTTTGTAAACATAAAACGTCTGTTTAAAATCAAATTTATATAGCCTATAAAAAAAATCTAAGCTTATTAAATTAAAATATGATTTAATCATTCGCTTGATATTTTTGTTCGATAATTCATTCATTCACAATACTATTCTCAAAGTAATATTAAAATTTTGAGCGGTGTCTAGCATATTGTAAACCAGTAGTTCATTTTTTATATATTTGTGATCCATAAGTTTGATCCATTGGACATATAAAACATAGTTAGTATTTAATGAATAACAAATACTAGTATGTTGACTATATTCTAACCGTTATTGACATTAATAGCTACAGACCATCATCGCATATTCTATTTGGCAGGACTAAACGAGAAATATAACCATTTACATATGATAATGGAGATAGTCTAAGATGATTCACTTTTGAACAAATTTGTTTTAGTTACAAGTTTGGTTATTCTCATGGGTGGTTCCGGCCAATAAATAAATACCTTTTCTGATAACAACTCCGGTATTAAAGTCGGTCAAAGGGTTTGAATAATTTCTCTCTAAATTTTCTAGTATTAAATGTTTTTTCGCAAAATTTAAAGTTTGAGCAATTTTGTGATATTTATTGCGAACATATACCTTGAAGTGCACGAGTCGTTGACTGGTAATCAAAGCTTCAGGAGAGCAAAGCATTTTGTTCCATTAAGTTTGAGATAGAATGAAAACAAATTGGTTCGTCGACCAAAAACTAAAATCATTAATTAATTAGTTTGACTGAAGAATGGTTTTATTTTAGTTTTTTTTTTCCATTAAAAAGACAAGAAAAAGAATTTAGAAAAATAAACCACGGATGAGCCAATCAAGGAAGCCATTATTTTCTCCCGGTTAATATGGTTGTTTAGACGAGAATATATATTGTGAATCAATTGTGTGAAACTCTGTATGTATCTGGATTATTATGTTGGTTGTTCACTTTGTTTTTTCCATAATGAAAAAGGTGGAAGTGTCTCTCCTTCTCTGGGTACGACCTTGATAATGTCTCCGATGGTTCTTAAAACCCGATAAAATCACACAATTAAATAGTGCTAAAGGTACACTGGGAACAAGTTAGTGCACACATAGAATCAAACATGAGATAGTACATAATCTGAATGGACTTCACATTCTCTTTCTCTTGCCGTGATGCTTCTCCGATTTTCCAAGCTTAGACTTTCTTTGTTTGAACAGCTGCAGATAAAGCTTTAGCCAAAGGAACGGGTACACCAAGAGGACGGCCTGGAATAAATAATGCCCCGTGGAAAGATCAAAATCACGACAAGGAAGATAAAGAAAATGTGGACGTTTTCTCAAACAGAATCCGAAAACTCTGCTTAGAACTTTCGTTAAGCCAAAGGGTTTTGTTGAAGGAGAAGAAGGTAGCGACAAACATACATACCCAAAGGAATTCGTAGTAGCTAAAGGGGAAAGCAGAGAAGAAATTCGCGTAAAGATTTCTTTCTTTAACATGTGGAAGCGCTTTGTACATGATCAACACTGCAGAAACATGGTCAAGGTAAATAAGAAGAAACAAAAGAAGAATTCTGGATTCAGAGGAATACATATACACTCTAAAAGGACTCACATTCACCCACTAGCCCCATTGGATAGATCATGATGAATCCTGTGTACCTGGATGGTAAAACACTATTATGCAATCCGCTCAACTCGGAAACAAAATTTATGTGTTAGGGAATGTTTCGGATCAAAAGAATACATGATGCAGTACCTGAGATAGGTTAGCCAATAGGGGCATCTACCGAGGCAAGTGAAAGCATAGTGAGGATATCTGATCATCTGCACCCAAAAATACCACTCAGCTAACACATATACTAAAATTATTGTTCCACTCAGAGACACTTCTACTCTATCACTGGTAATGTATGTTCAAAGGCTTTGCTCAGACCAGAACATTAAGATAACATGTTTCTTTTTGACTGCCACAAACTATTCATTGATATTTTCGTATTGTTGTAAAGATTGGCAGACATGTGAAGATCAAACTTACCTCGCCTAGACACCAAGCTACAAGCGTTATCGACAGCCACGGCGAATCTTGGACCTGAAAACGATGGAATGTAAAGATAGAATTACACTGCTAGCTTTGTCGAAACTGTTTCTCGCTTACGAGTTACGAGGAAAACACTCTTTAGAGTAAACAAAAAAACCACACAAACCTCCTTGATCTGTCCAACAATTGCCAATATGAAGTGGGTTCTTCCACTCCATTGCATCAGCGGAGACAAGAATCCACTCGGCACAATTCCTTAATATTTCGAAGAGAATCAATTCACAATTCATTACAAAATGACAAACATCAAATCATTCCACTAATTATACCTATGGCTCCATGAAGAACTTCAACAACTGCAGCAGTTTGAATCACACCTGAACGAATCAAAAAAACCAAACAACATAGATCAATTACAGAAACCATCCATGGATTTGGCCAAATTTGACAGAAAATGAAATTTCTTCTCACTGATCAAGTATCCAGCAGAAGAGTAAACGCCATTGATTGTCTTGTTCGATAAAAAGCTGCTCAAGATACTCAGAAGCGAAATCGTCCTGCCGAAGAACACAAATCTCATGAATAAACGACGAAGAAAAGGCAAAGGAGTGAAAACGAAATAGAGACAGAGAGAGGGAATACCATAAAGAAGCTTGGAGAAAATTGTAAGCAAAGAGATAAGAATTCACGAACGGCGACATCTTCGATTTAAGAAACCTGGATCTGGAGGAAGATCGGCGATATGAAATCCGGCGGTGGATTTGTAGGTATACGGCGGCTCGAGCCTGAATAGCATTTTTGACGGCGGATTTGAGATTCGAGTGACGTCACATGTTTGTGTTGTGTGGCCCTGAGTCACTCGTACAGTGTACTTTGGTTTCGCGCAATTAAAAAATCTCTGCTACTTTTTAATTTCAGCTGAATTTAATATTTTCGTAATTTACACGAATGTACTCCTCTAGTTTTTTATTTAGTTTTGGATTTACCCTCAAAGTTATATAAAATCAATTTAACATCCCTTTAGAACACAAAGCGCAACCTCAAATCCCAATGAATAGTGAATGTAATTACGACTTAGTATTTGTGGTTAGTCCCTGATTTCTTTTCAAACAAAAAGTTTTGGTTTGCAAAACTCTGTCAAAATTAACGACGTTGTGGGGATGTTCTCGTTTCGGTGAAAACTTTTTTGCCAATTTGAGAAGAATACCATACAACAACAACATTTTTTTTTTTTCCCTCTCGAATTTATATAAATTAAATCACCAAATCAATAAAAAATTTTATACCAAAACTTTTATGGATTTTTCAGTGATCAGCATTTTTTGAATCGCTACAATTTTCAAGCAACCGATACAATAATGATACAATGTGATTAGAGATCCTGGGTGTTTCTTTGATGTAAGTCATGAAAAAACTATTATACAATGTATATGATACACATATAAGCATTCTAATGAATCAAATTCTAATTTAGTCTCCAAAAAATAATCACAATGATCTACGATGTTCAAAACAGAAACAAAATGGATCAATGGCAAAAGAAGACATTTTATTGTGTAAAAAAAATACTCAACACAAAGAAGTTCGGGGACATTACTGCTTTCAAAACAAAGACTTCAGGAATGCAGTTGAATGTTATTCAAAGTTCAAACATTAACCGTAAAAACAAACAAATCCATGATTCAAAAGCTAAAGATTATGTTTGTTACTAGTTCGTGATGATGATGTCTACTAGTTGCTTTCTAGCATAGAGCGATGAAACGAGTAAAGAGAGTGTTTGGAGTTGCATGGATTTATGCCATGAATGCTTGAAACGACCATTGTTGTGAGGCTCACATGTGTGTATCTCTGGTCATGGCGACTCGTTATGTGATTGGATTTACACACCGCTATTAATTTCCGCTTGACTAAAACTATGATGACACCATGCAGACCATTGTAGGTCGATTCCGGAGTTCTAGGATCATAATAAATGTCCACCTGAAAATTTTGAATACATATATTCTGATAAACTATCGTTCTT